CAGAAGTAAGGATGGTGTGGTATTGCCACCCTTCATTCTGCACGGCTGCCTTCAGAACTGGGCCCTCTCTGGTCGCCCAGCTCTGAAGGCAGCAGCGCAGAAGTGAGGGTGGCCTGGTGAGGTGGGGAGAAAGGCTGCCTGCATGTAACTGCACCTGGGTGTGTCCCTACCTGTGTGAATGCTGGTGAAAGTGCAGCCTAGAGAGGGCTTTGCAGCTTGTCACAGAAGTACAGTGTAAAGGGGAGCCCAGGCTGGTGGGTTAGGGGAGCTCAGTGATACCCCAGTTGCAGGTGGCACCCCAGGGGGAACCCGCTGCTCTCACCCTCACCTTGCTCAGAGATGCCAGGAGGCATCAGGGTGAGAGGAGAAAGAGTGAGAGAGACCCTCACCCCTCTGGAATGTTGCACTCCATATGATGTTATGAAAATATGCCAATGAGTGTGAATATGATGTAACTGGAATATGCTTCATGCAAAAGGACTCTTGTAAGGTACCATTACAAAGCTTATAATCTACTGAGTGTGGTCATCCTATTTGTATGATTGTATCTTTCTTGTATCTGAAACTAGAAGTATGAAATATAACTCTGAGGGCCTATTGTAATTATGCAAAGTGTGGGCCATTAATGGTGGTTTGGAATCTTGATGGGTCCCATTAACCAGGACCTTGACTGTGGATGGGTCTGTTTTACTTGCAAGCCTTCTTATGAGTCAGGTCGGGAAGAAGGAAGGCTTGGGGTCTCACAGAACATCCAGCAGAGAGAGGGGGGCAGGGGTCTTCACATTCCGTACACAGCTACTAGCCAGAGGCTGATACAGCAGATGTAGCCCCCAGGCATGTCCAGGGACAGCCCCCAGTAGGAATCCCAACACCTCCCTCAATAACAACAGCTGGGTATGAGGGGGGGTGGCATCTCCCCCAGGCCTCACTGGTGGGTGCCCCCTTCATAGCAACCTCTGACTAGAAGGGTCATGGCTCCAGCACTGGGATTGTCATACAGTTTCCTAGCCCTGTTCAGAAGGTTTGTTTCCTGCTCCACAATAGTGCCATTTCCTCCCTCAATCCCCATGGGTCTGTCCCTAGAATCTAGACCCTAAATTCCAGCAGGTTTGTCACACCCTGTCCCCCTCGCTCTCTCCCACCTCCAGACCAAACTCCTCAGAAGCTCCCACCTCCTGGCTGTCTATTGCCCCTCTCTCTCCAAAAGCGACCCACCAGCAACTCCCGTAATCCCTACCTGGACGGGCTCCACTGCAGCCATTTCCCTTCCCTGTCCCACGAGAGGCTGGGATGAACTGAAAGAAAACATGGATGTTATTCTGCAGCCTGCCAGGGCAATAAGGGCAACTGGAGAGGTTTCAGAACAGGCCTTAGTTCATTTAGTTCAATCTGATGAGGTGCAACAAGGACAAGTGCAGAGTCCTGCACTTAGGAAGGAAGAATCCCATGCACTGCTACAGGCTGGGGACCGACTGGCT